GGGTCCGCGGGAGGAGCAGCTCGAAGATGGCGGCGCCCATAGGCGAGGGCTCTCCCGGCCCGGAGCCCGGCGCTGCTCCCTACGGCAACTTCCCCAACTACTCCCGGTTCCACCCGCCCGAGGGCCGCGTCCGCCTCCTGCCCCGCGGCCTCCTGCGGAGCCTCTTCCCCGCGCCCAAGCGCCCGCTGCTGGGGCTCGATGTGGGCTGCAACTCGGGGGTAAGGGGCCGGCGGCGGGCGGGTGGGCCGCGGCCGTGGGGCTGGGGGGAGAGCGGGAAGGGAGGAGCAGCGGCTGCCGTGGTGGGGGGCAGTGGGGCAGAATGTGCCCCTGCGTGGGGTATTGGGGTAGGATATGCCCCTGCTTGGGGTAGGATGTGCCCCAGGGGTATTGGGGTAGGAGGTGCCCCTGCGTGGGGTATTGGGGTAGGATGTGCCCCTGTGTGGGGTATTGGGGTAGGATGTGCCCCTGTGTGGGGTATTGGGGTAGGATGTGCCCCTGCTTGGGGTAGGATGTGCCCCTGCTTGGGGTATTGGGGTAGGATGTGCCCCTGCTTGGGGTCTTGGGGTAGGATGTGCCCCTGTGTGGGGTATTGGGGTAGGAGGTGCCCCTGCTTGGGGTATTGGGGTAGGAGGTGCCCCTGCTTGGGGTATTGGGGTAGGAGGTGCCCCTGCTTGGGGTATTGGGGTAGGAGGTGCCCCTGCGTGGGGTATTGGGGTAGGAGGTGCCCCTGCGTGGGGTATTGGGGTAGGAGGTGCCCCTGCTTGGGGTAGGATGTGCCCCTGCGTGGGGTATTGGGGTAGGATGTGCCCCTGCGTGGGGTATTGGGGTAGGATGTGCCCCTGCGTGGGGTAGTGGGGTAGGATGTGCCCCTGCTTGGGGTAGGATGTGCCCCTGCTTGGGGTAGGATGTGCCTGTGCGTGGGGTATTGGGGTAGGATGTGCCCCTGCGTGGGGTATTGGGGTAGAATGTGCCCTTGCATGGGGACTGTAGCACTAGGACAAGGGGTGATGGCTTCAGACTGAAGCAGGGATGTTCAGGTTGGAGATAAGGGAGAAGCTCTTCCCTGTGAGGGTGCTGAGGCACTGGCACAGGGTGCCCAGAGAAGCTGTGGCTGCCCCATCCATGGCAGTGCTCAAGGCCAGGTTGGACACAGGGGCTTGGAGCAACCTGCTCCAGTGGAGGGGGTCCCTGCCCGTGGCAGGGGGTTGGGACTGGATGAGCTTTGAGGTCCTTTCCACCCCAAACCATTCCATGATCCATGTGTGGGAAGCCTCCTGGCAGGTCTTTGAGGGGAGGCTGAAGGCTGGGATGAGGTGGAGCCGCTTGGGTTCTGCGTTGGTTTAGGAGCTGTGCTGTGGGTCTGGCCTCTTTGCACTGAGGCCCTGCAGTGCTCTGGGCTGCTGCCCTAAGAGCAGACCTGAGGCTGCAGAGCATCCCTGTGTGTTCTGTGGGGTCACATCACTGGTCCACGAGCCACAAGTGGGAGCTGGAGCCCTGGTTCTGCATCAGAGCTGGTAAATCTCCTCCAATCTCACGTCTGAAAGCTCGTTTTCTTTACCTGGTTCTGCTCTTTTGGGCTGGTGGCTTGCCCTCATGGCGCACTTCATTGTGTGGTGATTCCGAGGTGCCTGTGCAGCTCTGGTGCGTGGTGGTTCAGAGGTGCAGCTCTGGTGTGTGGTGGTTCAGAGGTGCAGCTCTGGTGCGTGGTGGTTCAGAGGTGCAGCTCTGGTGTGTGGTGGTTCAGAGGTGCAGCTCTGGTGCGTGGTGGTTCAGAGGTGCAGCTCTGGTGTGTGGTGGTTCAGAGGTGCAGCTCTGGTACGTGGTGGTTCAGAGGTGCAGCTCTGGTGTGTGCTGGTGCAGTGTTGAACTGGGTCTGAAGATACTCTTCCCCCTTATTAGGAGGGAATTAATTTCCTTAATGGAAACTTTATCCATGTGTGAATTTAGTGCCTGAGAAATCCAGATTCATTCAGAATGCTATTGCAGCTTGGCTGGGGACAGGAGCTCTGCTGTTTCCGTGCCTTCCCTCCCTCCCTGAGGCGTCAGCTGAAGGACAAGTGAAGCTCCTATTGCAGGTGAACTTGTAGAACAGGCCAGGGAAAAGTATTCCCAGCCCAGTTCTTTTGGGATGCGGAGGCTTGCCGCTAGAGGATGCTCTCTGCCTGCTCCTTTGGGCCGTGCACTCATTCCTGGTGCCATCCAGGACCTTCCTCAGATCTCCTTTAGCAACAGATGGATCCGCTTTCTGCTCAGTGGGGCTCTCTGTGGAAGGGAATCCAAAGGGAAGCTCTCGTGTGAATTCTCTCATGCTACATCTAATGGGCAGGGGATTTCTTTGATCTTAGCAGCAGCAAATGGCACCTATTACTCTAAATCAGGCATTAGACAGAGCTCTGAGTGTTACCAGGGAGCCCTGAGGCTCTCCTAGGGAAGCCATTGAAACCCCATGCCCTGGATGGGTTTATCCAGCAAGATTCCTGTTTCTAAACCCCTAGTTTTTGGAGCAGAGCCCCAGGTTTGAGGTGCTGCAGGTTTAGTGCCCATCTCTGGTTGCCTTCCTGGTGGTCAGGGCTCTGTGATGCTCTCGGCTGCAGAGAGGGAGCTTGTTGGTGAGTCTGTTTGGAACTTTGAGGGCAAGCTCCTGCCTCGGTGCTGAGAGAGGGATCCTGCGTGCTGGGAACGTGGTAAGGAAGCAGCGTGGGCCCCGTGAACCACTGTTGTTTTCCTTCCTGCAGGAGCTAAGTGTGGCTCTGTACAGGCATCTCCTGGGCCTTCAGGAGAGCAAAGGCAGCCTGGAGGAGTCTGCAGCTGGGAAGGAGCTGAACCTGCTATGCTGTGACATTGACCCTGTGCTGATCGAGAGGGCTCAGCAGAGCAGCCCCTTTCCTGCCTCCATATCCTTTGCCAAGCTGGACATCATGGACTCCAGCACCAGGGACTCATTCCTGAGCTCCTACCTGGCCCGGTTTGACCGCTCCACCTTTGACATTGGTTTTTGCATGTCCGTGACCATGTGGATCCACCTGAATCACGGCGACAGGGGCCTGGTGGAGTTCCTGGCCTTCCTCTCCTCCGTGTGCACGTACCTGCTGATGGAGCCCCAGCCCTGGAAGTGCTACAGGGCAGCCGCCCGGCGCCTGCGCAGGCTGGGCCGCAGCGACTTCGACCACTTCCGAGCCCTTGCCATCAACGGGGACATGGTGGAGAGGATCACCCAGATCCTGACCAAGGACTGCGCCATGGAGCTGGTCTGCTGCTTCGGGAGCACCTCCTGGGACAGAAGCCTCTTGCTTTTTAAATCGAGTGCCTCAGATCCTGAGGGCAGAGGTCCTGGTCTGAAGAAGGAGGCTCTGGAGCAGGAGCAGTGACTGTAAATGTTCTCTCACATGGATGAATTCATAGGCAAGGAGGTGCTTGCTGTTCACAGAGGCAGGTCTAGGACTTCCTTAAATCCCTAATGGACCTGGGGAGAAGAGAGAACATGCCTGGAGCATCTCAGGGAAAGGGAGCATTTCTGTTGCACTGTTTGTTCTGCTTCTTGCCATGTTTCCTGTATAAAACTCTTGGAAAACACATAACCTGGCTCCCCAGCTGGGAACAAGGGAATTGAATCACTTGGGAGGGTCAACAGGATGCCCAGAGTGGTGGTGATGGATGTCCCATCCCTGGAACCATTCCAGGCCAGGTTGGACAGGGCTTGGAGCAAGCTGCTCTAGTGGAAGTTGTCCCTGCCCATGGCAGGGATTTGGAACTGGGAGCTTTAAGGTCCCTCCCATCCCAAACCAGTGGGATTCTACGGTATTGGTCCGGCTGTGGTCAATGCAGCAAAGCAGATTGGGCTTCCCTGGTTGACAGAGTGTGATCTCTCTGTGGAGTGAGGGATTGCTATGGCAGGGCCTGTACTTGTGTGTGTACCACAGTGAGTGCTTTGTGTGTAATAGCCTTGAAATAAAGAACTCAATGTTACTGTAAATCCCGTGTTGGGTTTTTGACCTTTCCTTTTGGTTGCTGGTTTCGGTGCCTGAGCTGTCCCAGGTAACCAGGTTTTATCATTGTGCTGAACTTCCAGGCTCAGATAAAGGCTTTGCTAAGCTCGAGGTTATGTTTGGTGAAGGTTAAAGTTTTACAGCTTCCCCTGGGTTGTGGGTTTGTCTGTTTGCTGTTTCCTTCAGTAGAATCCAGGGAGAAGGAGAACGGGAGCAAAAATCTCTTATTTTAACTTCATTCCCCTTGGGTTAATATCCCTACGGGCTTTATTCATACCCTGGGTTTGTTAGCTCTGCTGGCAAGTGGGAGTCGTGCTCCTACAGTGTTGTCTAAAGAGATTAAAAGCCTCCTTTTAATCTCTTTAACTGTGATGTAGGCTACTGTGTGTAGACTGTGACCCAGGTAATAACCGCTGACTCCTACAGACATCGAGGTTCTGCTGCTTCCCGCTGGGAGGTGGGAGGAAAGCCCAGGAATGTGCGGGTGGAAGTGCTGTGTCATGAGAGCTGGGTGCTGGAGAAGGGCAGGAGAGGGGGAATCTCCTCCAGGAGGAGCTCTTGCCCAGGAGTTTCTCCCTGCAAGGGCAGAGACTTTGGTGGCGTTTCCTTAATGGGACTTCCCTGTTATTTACTCATGATAGTGGAGGAGGAGAAAGCTTTGCTTAAGCACAGTGAGCTCAGGTAAGAGGATGTGTGTTCTGCCTGGCCAGATGACCACTGCTGGCACCCACGGGTAGATGTGGGATGGACTGTGCGTTCAAATGGGGCACAGAAAGGCTTTTAAGGCTCTTCATGCCAATGCAGCTGCCCAATGGTATCCTATATAGGAAGTGTTGAGGAGTCCCACCAGAGCTCCTCTGCTTCTCAGCCACACACCGATGTCTTCCCTGGTGGTGAGGGTTCCTCTTCCAAGCCTGGTGTGACTTCATTATCCCTGTGGGAGCGAGGGGAGAACCATTTGGGCATGGATTTCCCTGTGGATTCCCTTTGGGAGTTAAGCACCTTGTCTGACACTGGTTGTAACCCTTGGGTGAGCTCCAGTCACTTGGGGTGTTGCTCCCAGCAGCTCCCCTTGCCTCACTGCTCTTCCCCGTGCTGTGCAGCTGGTGGCACTGGAGCATCGTGCAACCTCCAGCCTCACCCTTGGGCTGCTGCTCTTGGCTCATGGTAGTTGCTGTTTGCTTTGAACTTTGCTATATTCATAAGCCAGAGCTGGACTTTGCTGCTCAGTGCTGGGGTTTAAAGGCCTCTGTGGGGTTCTCAGTTTCCTCTGGGGATTTCCACACTCGCTTTAGGAGGAGTTGCTGGGAAGGTAACAACACACAAGAGGTGGCCCCTGCGCCCATCTAGAGTGACCTTCCCCTTCAGAGAGACACTGTTCTATGTTCCTCTCACACTGTGGGATGGAGCAGGGTTCTGCTGCTTGTTGAACGATTGTGGGTTGGGTTTTAGTTCTTTTTCCAGCCCTTACACACTGGCCATGTACAGACCTGCAGTGTGTGTGTAAGAGCACGGTGGCTCCTTATCTGCCTCTCCTGTCTGTGCTGTTGAATTGCTCTATCTCTGTGCCCCACTGCCTCAGAAATGGCCCAGCTCCAAAACCAGCTCAGTTTGGCTCTGGCACAGCAGGGGTTTTATTTCTTGTCCTTTGGATGTTGCCCCAAACACAGCTCAAAATAACCTAAGCACAAATCTCCCTGCAGCTCTTGGGTCACTGTAGGGCTCAGATGGAGTCAGGCCCTTTGCAGGCAGGAGAAACCACAATAAACCCCTCTTTCCTTTCCTTTCCAGCTCGCTGCTGCTGCCCTCCAGGAGGCTGTTGGGAGATGAGCTTAGGTGGGAGCCCAGCTCTGTGCACAGTGATGGAGCAGAGGCCGTGGATCTCGGCTGCTTTGCCACGTAAGGCTCTCATCCTTTATTCTCTCTACATTTTGCAGTGTGGCTAAAATGTGCTCCCAGGCCTCCTGAAGGCAGGGCAGAATGAAAGTAAAGCTGAGGGTTAAAGCCAACACTTGTACTCCTTGTTGCTGACAGCACTTTGCAGGCGGTTGGTAACTGCTCATCATGTGGCTGGTGGAATGGAGATGCCCTTTGCTGGCTGAGTGCTGTGGTGGTCACCCTTGTGGAGCTTGGGGCACTTGGATTAAGGGAAGGCCTCTGTACTGACAGTGCTGCTTGCTCATCTCCTGCATGCCCAAGGATGGGGCTGACTTGGGGTGGTTGCTGCTGGTAATGCCAGGGAGACACAACTTCTCTGGGTATGCAGAGAGAAGGCTGTGCTCCCACTGCTCTCCTGAAGCACATGGCATCACACATTATGTGCCGTGCCATTCATGTTGTGTGCTTCCCTGAGCACTGGAGGGTTAGTTCAGAGATCCTCCTTGTTCTTTCCTACCCTTAAAGCTCCATAGCTGTGCTTGCCCACAGGAGCCTAATAAATTCAATGCCTGCACAGGGCACATGTAGCTGAGCAATTCCAAATGGAGCCAGAGTGTTGCAGGGCACTGGTGTCAAGCTGGTGGCCTGTCCCATCCAGCAAGCAAGGATGTCTGTGTGAGTAGAGTTCCCATGCTCTGTGGGTTGGGGTTGCTGCTGGGCTCCTCAGTTCTTCCAGCCATGGAATGAGCTTGATAACCACCCACACTGGGGAGGTTTCTGCTGGGGACTATTAGCTGTGTGTTTGCACAGCACTTTTGAGAGTGAAATCCAGAGCTGAGCTGTATCATCAGCTGTGAGCTGTGCCTCTGCTCATGTAATCACTGCAGCACTTCGGGTAGTAATTAGGTCCCATACCTTCAAAGTGTTCTGACTAACCAAGCCTCACGCCACTGCTGTGTAGCAACTCACAGCTCACTCTGCCCCTTCCCTGCATGGAAAAAGGTGAAGCATCAAGTTGTGTGTAAGCCAGCATCAAAGCTTGGGGGTGAGAACTTGGGAGATTCCAGTTTCCAGATGGTTCTGCAGTTGCTTCTAGCTCTTGTGGGAAGTAAGATTTAGATGGAGTCAATGAGAGCTCCTGGTTTTACTATTCTTTTAAGTTCTTAACTTGAGCTTTTGCTTATTCTTAGAGCCAGTTGCTGCTTCCTGCATTCTTGGGCTGGATGAGTACAAGGGATGCACTCAGTGGGGAAGAGTTTAGTGTGTAAAATTGCTGCTCTTGCACTGCATTTACCACGTTAACGTTGACAGCTGCCTGAGCAATGGCTGCTGTGAGCAGCTCTCCCTACTGGGTGCTTCCCTCTCACACACACAAGCACCGAGAGCCTCACAGACTGCTCATCAGCATTTCTAAAGGGTGACCTGGTCTAAAAATGCTTCAATTCAGCTTTCCCCAGAGCGTGTGACCAGCCCAAGAGTGGAGGAATCAAGCTGAGGAACAGAGAGTTGGCAGCAACGTGTCTGCACCCATAAGCAGCTTCCTCTAGCTGGAACCCAGCAACTTGTCCCTACAGGCTTCTATGGCAGAGGCTGCAGATCTTCGGATTTCCTTTGCTCAGCTGAGGGCAAGTTCCTTCTTGTTCTTCCTGGCACTTTGCTGCCTGTGAATTAAAGGAGACAAGTGAGAGGTGTCCACCCATGGAAACATGGGCAGCTGCTTCTGGCAGTGTGGAGACCTGGGAAAGGAACAGCCACAAACCAAACACCCGAGGTCTGTTTGATCCCAGGGCTCAGCCAGTTCTCTTGCCAAGTCTGGATGCATTCAGTGGGGTGCTGGTGGGAGGAAAGAGCCCTTGTGGCAGAGCTGGGGGGCTCGGTGGGAAAAGTGACCACAGCCCAAGGTGTGAGTCTGAGTTTCACTGTGCACAAGTGCTGAAGGCTGGGCCTGTTTGGCTTTGGAAGTGAGGAGTCAGGGGAGGTCAGAGGGGATCAAAAGAATGAGCTGTTCCCTTCCTTACGTTGGTTATGGAAGTGGAGGCAGCTCAGCCGTGTACACTGAGGTTTGCTGGCTGGGGGGGAATGGTCTCTTCAGGTCTCTCTGGACCTAGTGGAGAAGCTGCGAGACAGACAAGCAGTGTGTAGGGAGTCTGTCCTGCCATTGCATTCCCTCTTTGGTCTTCAGGGTTTTGTTGCAGGCACCTCAGTTTTCCCATCAGATCCACTTGTGTTACCCTGGTGGTTTCCCACAGGCCCTGGAGCAGGAATCCCTTGGAGCGCTATGGGCAGAAGCTTTGCCACTGGTTCTCTTATCGATCAGGCTGAGTTTCTTGCCTTTCATTATGTGGGGCTGTCCCTTGGGGCTGGGCCACCCATTAGGTTTGGACTCCAAAGGGGTCTCCAGTTTGATGAGGATGGCTTGGGGTCATTCCCTGGGGCTGGGATATGCTCAGAACACTCTGACAGAACTGGGGGTGCTTCCTCATGTCTGAAAGACCTTTGCTGGAGGTTGGAAGTGTGGGTTCCTATCTCAGGCTGCAGACCCTGGCCAAGCTGCTCCCTTCCTTGGGCCTCTCATCTTGCTCTATGGGAAGCACAACCTGCCTTGGGGGGATAAGTACTGGGGTTATCACAGCCTTGAACACAGAATGCTGTGCAGACCTGCTCTGTTGGGCCCAGACACACACAGAGCTCAGCCAGTTGTAGGTCTGCCTTATGAAATGCTTATCAGCTGCCTGGAGTTTTAGTCCCAACCTTAAACACAACTGATCCATGGATCCTCAGCAGAGTGGCTTGACTCTGAGCTCTGCCTTTCTTCTGAGTGAGAATGTTTTAAGAGGTGGTAAAGCTTTCTAGCCTCATTCACTGTAGCGTGGGGCCCTTGCAGTGAAGCGGGGGGGGGAAGGAGGGATCTCACCCATAGCAGAAGGCACTTTAGATAAGTGCCTTTGTAACTGATTAAACCCCCCTTCATCTAAGGCCAAAGATTACACAGGCGCTGCAGATGCTCTGCTCTGTTTCCTGGTGTGGGGTGCTTCACGATTCCGTAATGGTTACTTCTGCTTTATTGCTGCATTAGCAATCTATGAGTCTTCCACGTGAGTGACAAGGATTTAGTTGGAGCTTAGTGTGAGGGTGGTGTCCCTCCTTGGCCTCCTCGCTTCCCCTCCACCACTGGGGTCAACCCAGCGGCTCCCAAGCCCGTGAAGCACACAGAAGCTGCTGAAGTGCAGGTTTGTTGCCCCAGCAGCTCCAAGCCAGGAGCAGTCGTGCTGCAACAGGCCCCCTGCGAGAGAACAAGCTGCAAGGCTGACGCATCAAAAGAGAAGGGCAGCTCCGTGGGGTTCTCTGCCAGATCAAAAGGCAGCAGTAAGCAGGGCGGCTCCTCTCCTGCCTGGCCCTTGGGACTGCTCATCTCTTGCTCTTTACGTGTCCCTTTAATCTCAGCTCCCTCCTAGATCACTGCTTCAAGCATGTGAGGTGGTGGTGGTGGGAAAAGCTCATCTCCAAAGTGGCTTCCGTGCAGGAAGAGCTCCTCAGGTGCATGTGGTGAAGGAGAGAGTGAAGGTTTTAGGACAAACCCTCCTCACACAGCAGCACCTTTGTGTCCCATCAGAGCTGGTGACCCAGCAGGAGCAGAGATGGGTGCAGGGGATGGGAGCTGCCCTGTGTGGGTCTGGTGTCAATCTCTACCTAGAGACCATCAGTTCCCTTCTGCAGCTGCAGTGCCTCGATGGTGCCAGGGCAGGAGGGCTCTCCTGTGGGGCTCCGTTTGCTGCAGTGCATGGAGGCAGTGAGTTAGTAGGCCAGCATCCTCAGGTTGTGAGGGCTGTTCAGGAATGTTGGAGGCTGTTATCCAGGCTCTTGGCTTCCCTGGGACTGCTTAGCTGCTGTAACCACTGCATTCTCCACCTGGACGTTCCCAGCCTGGCCAGTGTTGACTCCTGTTGTCCAGGGAGGCTAAGTAGGGCAGATGCTGCATTATTCATTGTCCTGCAGTGCATTCCTTACTGACTCAGGTTAAGCTTTAAATCCCCATCTTAACCATGCCTTACAGAGGCGGTGTTTGGCCTCCCTCAGAACAGCCACAGCTGATGCTTGGCAACTGTGTTGGGTTTGCCCTGCTCCCTTCCAAGCCCCCTGCACATCACCTTTGTGGGCAGCTCTGTCCTTGGATCAGGGCAGCCACTGTGACCTGGGAAAACAGCTTTCCCACCTTACCTCAACCAACCCGAGAGACTTCCCTCCTTCCCTCACATCTTGTGCAGTGCTCAGGGCAAGCACTGACTGCATGGAGAAGCCATAAAGGAGCAGAGGTGTTGAACCTGAGAGCATGGGCATGTGGAGTCAAGCGTTTGGCCTTGAGTGGAAAAGATGCTGTCTGGAAGGCTCTGGCTCAGTGAGAGGGGACAGGGACCTCACAGGGGCCTTCTAGCTGCTTTGGAGAGGAGGAGGAAGGAAAGGGGAGTAACTGGGCATGGGACTTGGGAATCAAATTAGATATTCCTGGGATACCTTTGTATTTATGAGCTCTTCCCCCTGAGGATTGTACCATTGATGCTGGAAGCAGGAATCTCATCTGACCTTGAATGGCATCACTGCAGAACTGATTCTGGGGGGGTTCCCAAGGCATTTACCTGAGCTGGAGACTAAAGCAAAAGAACAACCTGGCCTGTGCTGGGCCTTTCTGTGCCTGGTGCAGGTTTCCCAGGTGAGCAGTGAGTGTCCCAAACACGGCTCCTTGCCTTGGGGGGAGGCGGAGGGCAGGAGCTGCTCTGCTGCTCCCTGTTCTCTCTTGATCTGCGTTTCTGGCTGCTGCTGTCACCAGCCCATTGGCTCTGCTCTCTGCCAAGGCTGCAGGTCGGGGCTGGTAGCTGTTCCTGCTCCGTGTGTAAGTGTCTGCCTCCATGGCAGGGACCAGCTCCAGCTGGTTTGGGTGAAGTGCTGACTTCAGGCACTGCTGAGCATGACTCAGAAGGGGGAGAGGGCTTGCGAGAAGGAGGAAAGGCTTTTTAAGGAGTTGTAAGCTATAAACTACAGCAAACAACGCTGGTCGAGGTGGCCTGGTTCTCTTCCAGGTTCTAAAGGAAGAGTATTAAGGATTTACAAAGAGCTGGCACAACTGCAAGGCAAAAGAATGCTTTATTGTGTAGAGGCCCATAAAGCCATAGGAAGCCTGATAATGTTGTGTATGTAGAGACAAGGAGGAGAGCAGTCACATACCAAGAAGGTACATGGAGGTTTCCAGAGGGCCGCATGCTCCCTGTGCATTGACAATGGTCACAGTTGTCATCGGTGGAGCAAGTGGTTGGTGCAGAACCTGCTTCCTTTCAACTCCCTGCTTGGATTTTGGGGCGCAGGGCAGGTGGGTCCATCAGTTGCTATCGCAGCACCTTGAGCTGTGTTGTCTAAGGGTTGTCTTGAAGGGTTAACACTTCTCTGCTCCACAAGAGTCAAAGGGGCCACTGGATCTCGTAGAGGAGGTCCGGGAGAGCAGCTCACCCTGGTTCCTCTCTCTGGGATGTGCCTGTGTGTATCCTGTAACAGGAATACAGATTTGCCCCTGTGGTAAGACAACAGCCCATTTCCCCCCATCACAGGAGCTGCTCTGTGTGAGACCCTGCTGTAGGCCCCAGGCACACATCTGACCTCCAGTAACATCACTGCAGAACTGATTCTTTATTCTACAGCCATGTACCTGAGCTGTAGAATGAAGCAGGACATGGTGCTGTGGTGGCACGATGGCAAACAGGAACCGGGGGGACAGTGAGGAGGGCAAAGAGCAGCTTGGTCTGGACTTGAGGGGCTGGGGGAGAGGAAAGGGCAGTAGAAGAGCTCTTCGTGAGTGTAACGGGCACCTCCACGTGTGAGAATGCCCCAACACTCCCCTTACACTGGCAGGAGGGCCCCTGCCCTTCCATGGGGTGTGAGTGGGCTCTAATGCAGTGATGGATCATTGTGTCTCTTCATCAGGGACTGGAGCGATGGGACAAAGGGTGATGGGTTCGCACTGAAACAGGGGAAGTTCAGGTTGGAGATAAGGGAGAAGCTCTTCCCTGTGAGGGTGCTGAGGCGCTGGCACAGGGTGCCCAGAGAAGCTGTGGCTGCCCCATCCCTGGCAGCGTTCAAGGCCAGGTTGGACACAGGGGCTTGGAGCACCCTGCTCCAGTGGAAGGGGTCCATGCCTGTGACAGGGGTTGGAACTGGATGATCTTAAGGTCTCTTCAACCCAAACCATTCCATGATGCGGATTCAGGGAAGCGTCCACCAGGGCCTGGGAATGCAATGGGAGCACTGGTTGTGTAGGGCTGCTGCAGGCATCTCCACCAGGGTTGTCCCACTGCTTATGGCTCTGCAGGAGAGCTCTGGAGCTGAAGAGCTGCTGAGTTTTGCTGGTTTCTGGATTCAGGTGGAGAGGCCAGGATGTGCTTTAGAGGAATAAAGGCCAGTTGTGAGATTCCCTTCTGAAGCTGGGTTTGGATCCTGCTGCAGACTAAACAAATGTGACTGCAAAGCTGCTCAATGCTGAGCACCGAGATGCAGCCATGTGCATATGCATTAGTGTCTGCTCTGCTCTGCTCTGCAAGAGGCAGCTGCTGGTGAAGATGTAGGAAGAACTGGAATTGTTTTCTGCTGTGGGAGGATTTAACCGGGGAATGTTGTCAGCCTTGGTGCCAGCCTCACCTGCAGCGCGCCAGCCAGGCAGTGGGGCTCAGAGATGCTCCCACGTGCACACAGACACACACACACAATCAGTGGGGTTCACAGAATCATGGAGTAGTTAGGGTTGGAAAGGACCTTAAGATCATCCAGTTCTAACCCCCCTGCCATGGGCAGGGACACCTCACACTAAACCATCTCACCCAAGGCTCTGTCCAACCTGGCCTTGAACACTGCCAGGGATGGAGCATTCCCAACCTCCCTGGGCAACCCATTCCAGTGCCTCAGCACCCTCACAGGAAAGAATTTCCTCCTTAGATCCAATCTAAACTTCCCCTGTTTCAGTTTGAACCCCTTACCCCTTGTCCTGTCACTGCAGTCCCTAATGAAGAGTCCCTCCCCAGCATCCCTATAGCCCCCTTCAGACACTGGAAACTGCTCTGAGGTCTCCACGCAGCCTTCTCTTCTCCAGCCTGAACAGCCCCAACTTTCTCAGCCTGTTCCACACACAGCTACCAGGCCCGGGCACAACCTGTGTGTATTCACTGTGGTCTGGGCAGTGTTTGCTCCCTGCAGGCTCTTTTCTGTGAGCTCTATAGAGCTGAAGAGAGAAAACCCCTTTAAGTCCTCCCTCCCTTCCACCCAGCACTGGGAAGGCTGCTTTTGCTCTGGTTTAACCCCTGCAGCAGCTGCCCATACCTTCCCCGAGCAGCACTACGTGCGCATCGACACCGCTCTGTGCAGCGGTTGCTCCCTGCAGTGTCTTTTAACGCTGTCTGGATTGCCCTGTGCTCGCTGTGATTGAGAAACACGAGCACACAGAGAGCATTAAAAG